GGAGGAGGAGGAGGAGGAGAAGAAGAAGAAGAAGAAGAAGAAGAAGAAGAAGAAGAAGAAGAAGAAGAAGAAGAAGAAGAAGAAGAAGAAGAAGAAGCTAATAAGGTTAGAATCGTCAGAAAAGGACAACTAAGCATTACGTGTGGAGGAATTGGTCCCAAGCCCTTTGGTGAAGGGCTGTTCATAACTAAATTATTCCTAGCTTCTGGCATTTCCAACAACTTCCCTCGTATCAGTTACTTATGTTTCCCATCGGCACATCCCTACACCTGTGGAATTTTACATCAGAAATTCTTTCCTGTCTAACTCACAGAAACCAGCCACAATGGGCTGTTGAGTAAGGTGCGATGCTCTGTGTGCACAAAAGTTTCCAAGACCCTAACGACGCTTCTGCAGCCAGCACCTCGCTGAGGTTGGCAGGGTGACACTTGAAATATAAGCTCTTCCTTTACCTGGAAAATTCCAGGGCCCTCAGGGGACTGTTTTGAGTACTGCCCAACACATTACCTTGACATCTGGCCCAGTGTCCAACATCTATGAAGAGCTCAGTAAATGTGCGTTGGAGCCCTGCTGCTGGTCCAGCGGTGCTTACTGGCCCTCTCTGTTCACTTTAATACAAATCTGAGGAGTAATTCACCCTCAGCCTACACAAATGAGGGGGCAGATGGCACAGGGACATCAGAGAGACAAAGTACTTATAACGGCAGGTGGGAAGGAAGGTCCCAGGTTGCAGATGGATGAGCAGAGATAGACTAAGCGAAAGATTCAGAGGCCCCCGGAAGCCAGCAGCAGTGGACAATGCCTCGGGCTGTCAATGCTGGAGTGTGAGAGTCCAAGCTGTGCTTAAAGATCATCTATTAATCCACCTCAGGCAAGCAAGGAGGTAAGTGTGGCCACCACGACCTGCCCAAGTGCAGGGAACAATGAGAGGGGCGGATTGGCTTCGCATTTCTGCAGATCAGCAAGAAGCTTCATAGCTGGTCTCCAGACTTGCTGTTTAGACAGGCTGCCAACCACCTACTTGTCCATGTTTGCTCCAGGTCTCCATGGAGAAACCAAGGAACTAAGACAGCAGACACAAAGTGGGCTGGGGCAGGGCCTGAGGGAAGAAATAATGATGGCCAGGGGAGAAGAGGCCAGCTCTCAGTGATGGCAAGTGTGCTACAGAGGAGCACCCCAACTGCAACCTGACACCCACCTACTTATCGCGAAGGGCCCAAACTGCAATTGGAGCTGAATACTGAGGTTTTGGTTTAGAAAAAGCTACTCATACAGTAGCATCTTTTGTCTTAAAAACTATTAACACAAGTGCCATAGGTTCGCCACCACAGCTGACTGAATTTAGTGTTTAATGACTGTAATATTCATGGATGGCCACTAGGTGGCAGTCAAGAGCGAGAGCTGCGTGGCCAATAAACACCTGTTAAAAATGCGTTGCTCCTGCTGTCAGGGAACATGGGTCCCTCACCCCGGCCCTCACCCTTGTCCTGTGGGGACTGACTTTGCACTGGCTTGTGTATGAGAAAGGCTTGCCCTTGCTGAGTGGAGAGGCAGCTAAGAAACCTGGGGTCTTTGTTCTCCTGGCACATCAGGTAGGCAGGTCAGGTCCAGCTCTTGCCTGCCACAGAGACCTCTTCCACTGTGAAGCTGACCCCCACAGTCTGCTGCAAGCACAAGGTCCTGCACGTGTGGGCTGTGAGGCAAACGCGCGCTCAGCCCAGCCCGCAGCTGCTCCTGTCCACAAAGAAACTCCGCTGTGTCTCACGGTCGTGGAATGCACCGTGGACACTCTCCCTTCCTGCTCTAAATCAGGGCCTGGGCCCTGTGTACAACGGCGCAAAGGTCCAGCCACCTGGCTCCCTTTCCCTTCACCGTCACGGAGCAAAGGGCAGAACCTGGAACAACACAGCCCAGGTGGCGTTCTTCCTGGCACCAGGAGCACGTGTGCCTGGAACCCCATTTCCAAAGGGACCGGTGGGGGGCAGGGGGTGGGGGCAAAGGGAAACAAAGAAAGTACAGATAACAAAGAAGAAAAGTTTTAAATGAAACCATCAAAGCAAAGTTTAAAATGTTTGTCATTTACCTGGCAGGGGCTTTTTCATTAAGCACAGCGTTCACGTGTCATTTCCACTTACTGACCTGTAACTTCTCCAGCTGCCAATAAAATGGGACGGTGCAGCCTAATCGTTAGGCAGTTGTGCCAAGAGGTGACGCAACGGAACCATCCGCAGCAAGGCAGCAGCAGGAGTGCACGACTGCCCCAGGACCCGAAGCTCCTTTGCCCCCTCGCTGGGGTCGGGCGGGCATGAGCTAGTCAAAGCTGCTCCACGTCAGTGTTTGCTGGTCCAGTGTAATGAGGCGGAGTGAAGATGAGAACGCGGTGCTGTCAGCAGCCCTTTGGCCCAAAGTCCTGGCTGAAAAGATTGCACTGTAGCAGCGGGCGGCTGGGCAAACCTTAGGATGGTGGCTTCCAATTTCCTTGTGTTTTTCTTATTTGTCTCTCATGGACCCTAAATTTTGAAAGCTCATGACTATCAAGAAAACTACCCCATAGACTCCTAAAGCCTTTTCCTCTTGATATTGATTAAACATACATAACTGCAAGTACAATTTTTAAAAAATAACACCATTGACCTGAACTAGCAATGGTAATAAAAACTTTAATAAGTTTAATAAGTCTGGAGATGTATAGATGTCTACTATTTTGAGCAAGTTTAACTTATTTCCTAGTGAATAGTAAGAGCAGTTTTGAAGCTATATTCAGCTCCATTCTTCATAAAAATATCTGTCTTTTCAGGTAGAAGGAAAATCTAGAATCATCATATGTTTTTGTGCATATGGAAAATATTTTTGGCCACTACCTTTTAGATGCTAAGGCATATAGGAATAACTATAACTTCATGAATTCTAACAGTCATGTTTTCCCTGAAGTTACCTTTGAGCCTTTTTCTGAAACACTCTCCAGCCAACTGAACTAACTGGATGAGTTATTGGACAGATCTCTTAACCTTCCTGGTTCACAGTTTCCTCTTTGGATTAATGAGAAGAATTAAAGCAGGCAGTTAATGAGTCCTCTCTCAGTTAAGTCAACGTAGAAGGGAGAAAAAGAAACACAAATATGAAAGGGCAGAGGCAGAGGCAAATGTGTTGGTGCTCCACAAATCATGCTGATGATGCCTATTTTTAAAATCACCATCTGGTGCTTACATATTCAGTTTTTGTTATGTGAACAGGTGAGGGAGAGAAAAGGAGATGAGAAAGAGGAGAGGGGAAGAGAAGAGAGGGGAGGAGAGGAGGACAGGGGGAAGAAGAGGAGAGGAGGGAACAAGAGGAGAGGAGAGGAGAAGGGGGGTAAAGAGGGGAAGGGGTGGAGAGGGGAGGGCAGGAGAGGAGAGTTTCTTTATCGAGAATGTAGGGAGGCTATGGACTTGGGCCGTGAGCCAGCCCTTATGAGCCTCAGAAGATAAATTCCTAAGGTGTTTCCGGTTATGAACTATAAAGAGCAGACTTTGACTTTTGTGGAGAGGCTGGAATCTACATCAGACCTCAAGTATATTATAAACAGGTTGCGGTCTGCCTCTTGTCCCAAGTGCTATCTGCTGTCCTGAGCACAGCTGCTTGGGAAGTGGGAGCCCCATTCGCATGGCAGCACTCCTGACTGCAGAGATAACATAACCCGGGCTTGCCTGTGAACCCGGCCCACTCACTGTCCCTTCCTGCTACTGCGACTAAGCTGGATTATGGGAACGTGGAGGGAGGAGGGAATGGTACAGAGGGAAAAGACCTTTCCCACAAGGGTGAGAAAGAAGCCAGGCAGAATAGAGGAAATGATCTGCAGAATGTGGAATCTCAAGTTGTTTTCATCCACTGCGGACCTGCCTGTGGCAGCTGGCTCCTCAGCTCCCCTCCAAATAAAGACACATGGAGTAGCCCTCCTTGGAAGCCCGATGTTCACTGGCAGTCTGAGGACACAACAAAGACTGGAGTGCACTCCGCGTGAAAAGAGTGCACAGGATTAGAAGGTCTTCCTCTGTCATTTTGGCCGCAGACGTGCTCAGTAGGGAAGGGAAGCCCAGAAAGTATATGGTATTGGCCAAAGGTCACTCAGCTTGCTTGTAGAATCAGGTCTGCAGAGCCCTTTGGATCTCAGCCTGGGCTCTTCCCAGCACCCTGGGAGGAATAGATCTGTTGCATCACAACCCCAATACCCTGAAATGTTTATCTGGAGGCAGTGTTGTAACCATGGCCTTCGCCAACATAAGCATTTGTCAGATGTGAATGTATATTCTGTATTGATACCTGTTCATTTAAAATCCCTACAATAGTTTATTCATTCAACCAACATTTATTGAATGAATGAATCTGAGCATCTGAACATTTTTTGGTTAGTGTTTATTGTTCCAGTTAAATAACACAGAATACAGACGAGAAAATTTTGCTCTGTAAGACATGGTTCTTGATCTGAGATAACTCTCAGCATAATAGGGGAAAGAAATTATGTAGTGAGAGAGGGAGAGGAGAAGCAAATGTAAAGCTGATAAAGTCAGACAGGCCCCGATACATGGTAGGAACAGCAGGAGAGAAACCTCTTTTTTTTTTTTTTCAGAAAGTAACACTACATGATTGCTTAAAAGATGAGGAATTAACAAGAACAGGCTGTGCGATACAGAAAATATCTTTTAGGTTGGAACCTAAAAGGACAGAAGTCACCCTAAAAGGACAGAAGTCACACCTAAAAGGACAGAAGTCACCCTAGCTGTGGGACTCCATAGTCACGTCTACAATTGTCACTACTTAGCAAGATCTTGCTACATACCCTGGAGATCTTATAAATATAGTTGTTGTTTGGTTTGCAATTCATTCTGTGATTCCAAACCCTGGAGTCCAGCAGAAATCTCAGGCTGAAAACAGAAGCCCAGATACAGTGAAAGATTTAATTTCACTGGAGGATAATATGTAGTATATTTGTAACACTACTAAGAACAAAGCTACGTAAAGATTTGATCACACATAACCTTTCCAAAGGCAGTTGTTCCTCATCCTTTCAGATTAGGTCTAAATGCCATTTCTAACAACCCCTTCCTCCTTCCTCCAACCAAAAGTACCCTCTCTCTCCTTTCTAAGAGCTCGGACATGTTGCTGCTTCTGTGATACCCAGTGTATACAACTTTGGATGGCACTTTTGGTGAGGTATCTAAGTCTCAGATCTTAGAAATGTGAGAGATGGAGGGAGAAACCTGGGCAGTGTTGGATATCACCCCAGGATATCCAGAAAGGCACAGGAGAAAGTTGAACTGAAGTCCATTCAGACAGATATTTCCTCTCTCTCACCCACCTCTCACCCTATTTTGCCTACCACACAGCCTGGCTCTTCCAACTCAACCTTAGTTCCCAGAAGCCGATTGCTTGGTTGTTATTTCCTGCTGTTGTGCAGGGTTTCTCGGCCCTCTAATGCCCTCTACTCTCCTTGTTCATCCCCCACACACTTACTTAACCATTACCTTTCCTTTTATTTAATATCTCTCAGATTCTTTCCCTTCAGCTCTGCCCCCAAATAAGCTCAACAACTTGCTTCAGTTTCCCTGTGATCTGAAAACATCTCTTTCCTAGTACCTTTGACACCAGCATACTTCTTGGTATACAGGCTGCTGGGTGTTGAGCAGCTTGAGGTGGGCAGCTGGGGCTCCTTTATCTTAGTGTAACTAAGAAAAGGCAACTGAGCAGATTTGCCTTCTTCTCTTGTCTTCCTTCGGGCCAGAAACTTGGCCTTATGCCTCTGTGAGGCACTGTCACAGCACCCTCCACATGGTGGCCTCACAATAAATGTTTGTTGTTAAATGAATGAATCTAGTCATTCAAACTCATACTTTAACATACCAACCCACAAGGCTACAATACTGGGCTGATTCTTTTTACATGCCCCATAAAGTGAAGCATATTTTAAATATTTATCAAAAGAATCCAACATCGTCAATAGTCCCCAAGTCCTAAGTGCCACCAGTCTCTCACAGGACCAAACTGCTTGCAGTCAGTACGGCAGATGTCACCTTTGGACAGTACCCCAGCACTGATGCTGCTGAGATATTTTCCTCCTTATTCTGTTTCTCACACCTTCCAGGACAGCTGGAATGGGCCAGGGTGCATGTCTATTGCTAAGCTAACAAGCCAGTCAACCAGAAGAAGTCCTGTTCGGGTGGTTGTCATTGGCTCACCGCTGTGGCCTTCCTTGTCCCTATTTTCTATGCTTTCTATGAATTTCTCATAACTCTAATGTCATTAGGCATGAAGAATGGTAAGAGAAGATCTCCAAATGTAATCCTAACCTGAAATCCCTGCTTACTGCATAACCAAACCTTTGCCAAGGTGGAAGGGAGAGCTTTGTGCTCCAGGAGTAAATGCCCCAAAGTCTTTTCCCTCACACTTTTTCAGAGATGATGTGAAAAGGAAAGAGACAAACTGTCTCTGCTCTCCTCCACTGGTCATTCCTGGCCATCCTGAGACAGCCTCTCCTCCGGGGCCGAGGATGTGGACTCGAGATGCTTGTGTCAGCTCCAGGCCTGCTGTGGCTTGCATGCAAGGCTCTCAGGAGGAGCAGACGGGCCAAGTATTGGTGGAGCACGGAAGCTTGGGAGCTGGTGTGGAGTCAGAGTTACAGGGAATGGAGGCCTGCGGAAGAGAAGTTTTTATTCCTTCTTAGGCCCTCGGTGGTCCTCAACCGGCCCAGTCAGTGGACATTTGATGTACAAAGGGAGCGATGCGCCACCTATGGGAGAGTGCAGTTCCTCCACCGCGGTGCGCGCCAGCTCCCAGCCCTAGCTCCGTCCCCGGTGCAGCTGTCCTGGTATCTGTGCACCATGCAAGCGCCCCCTGAACTATTAGCTTATCTGTGTTCCACTAAGCCCTGCTAAATCTTCCACAGCAAATCTCGAGCTCCAACAACCACCCTGCAGGGGGATGAGGTCACGGCTTCATGGAAGGAAGGAGAACCGTTATCTGTTCCACGTGCACTACTTCTCCACTCCTTTGCTGCGCCAGGTGCCTCAGCATTTCCTCACCTGTCTCTATTTCTCTCTTTCCCCCCAGACTGGAAGGAACCAGACTGACTCGGGGTTGCTCAGAAACAAGTGGCTGTGTGCCTCATGTCGAGAAGAAAAAATGGTAGGCGAAGGGTGAGAGAAGGGAGCCTGTGTCCCCCGGGGCCCAGCACTCCTCTTCCTCCATGGAGTCCTATGGAGAGAGACTGTAATACCTGCCCTTCACACACGCTCTTGCTGTGAGCTGCAGATGGGAAATGGTAGGTCCTGCAGACAGCATCAGCTCAGACACCATGTGACAAACCTGCCCCATTTCAACAAGCCACAGGTGGGCCACAGTGGCAGGCCACAGGGAAGGAGATGAGGTAAACCATTTTCTTTGGCCTTCTACATTACTACACTCTTGTAAAAAGGTTCTTGAGGTAATGGAGCCACGTCTCTTCATTTTACATCTCCCCAGCGTATACACACACACACACACACACACACACACACACACACACAGACATACACATACACACACACACACACGCATCACAAGTTCTCTTCTACCATTACAGTTGGGAAACACTCCACTTGATCTTTGGGCTCATCACTAATTCAGTCAGCATCTCAGAAGATAAACTGGGAAGAGATTTGATAGTAGGTTCTATCTAGCGAGGGTCTGAGCAGGCATGGCCATCCGGGGAGTGGTGAGGAAACAGTGGTAAGAAAAGGGAGAAGGGCACCAGGCGTGTGGAAGGAACAAACACAAGGCTCTGCCACTCTCAGAGTTGCCAAAAAAGAGGCCTGTTTCAGGGAGGATGTTGTACCAGGTCACAGTTAAGGCTTTTGTTAATGTAAGGATTAGGGTCAGCATTGGATAGCTGTTAGGCTCCGGGTAGACACAGGCTTGCTTAAGCATGATCTGAGTATGCAGTTAAGTTTAGAGTAGGGGTGGAGTCAATCTCTTCAAGTCTGGTGTGTTGTGATTCTCCTTTGACCTGGGGAGGAAGTAGGGATAAATATGTGATGAAATGAAGGGAAAGAGATGGAGGAAAAACAAAAGGTACAGAGTTTCCTTTTCTGGGTTCATGGCAAAATGCTTCAGGCTAACAGCAGAGGGAAGAGAGCTGCAATTTTGTAGAATTCTTGTGTGGGAATTAGAATTTTAACTGAAGCTACCAGCAATGATGCACCTAATGGTGCAATCTGTGTTCGTTTTCCACTCATTTAGGATCACGGAGTTTAATCTTATAACCAACTGGGATTCCTCATAGTTCTATTCCTGGAATCCCAGGGAGAATGTGCTGGCCCTAGGGTTGAGCTGGCCTGGCCTGTTGGCACACTTGGGAGTTGAACAGCTGTCCTCTTTCTCAAAACCACTTCTTTGGCTTTTGCCCTTGCAGAGAATTTGACAGGAAAGAAACAATACACTGTGGTTTTCCCACTTTTGTAGCTTTTAAAAAGAAGGTATTCAAACACAAAGCACCCAGGAACTTCCTCTACTGCTGTCAGAAGCTGGTGTGAAACCACAGTCAGTTAGGAAACAGCAGGACATGCTCTTGCCACATAGAGAAGGACTTTGACATCTTTGATGCCCTCCTGGGGAGCTAATGTCATCACTGTGACGCCCCTCATCTCTCAGCAGTGAGGTGGATATGAGGACTGAAAAAATCTCCTAGGAATGGAAGGGCATTTCTTCAATATAATTGGAGGTATCTATGAAAATTGCATAGCTAACATCATACTCCCCTGTGAAAGAATAATTCCTTCTAAGATAAAGTGCAAGAGAAAAACATTTGTAATTTCCATTTGCATTCAAAAGTGTATTGTGTATTCTAGCTGGGATATTTAAAACAAGCAAAAGAAATAAAATACATAAACATTAAGAAGGCAAAAGTAAATCTCTGTCTATGCCAGTGACAGGATCTCATATATGGAACATCCTGGGGAATACACACACACACACACACACACACACACACACAAAGAAAGAAAAAAACACCCACCACCAACAATTACAATTAGAGCTAATAAACAAACAAAGCAGAATTTCAGGACACAAAGGTCAATATTTAATATGCAAACATTAATTTATTAACTATACACTGACAACAACACAAAAGAAAATAAGCCCATTTTTAATATTATCAAAAATAGCTAGGGAAAGAATAGGAATAAAGTTAGCAAGAGAAAACTACAAGATCTGACCTATATCCCAAAAACTATAAAACATCATAGAAAGAGATTTTAAAGGGAAGAAGAAAGAAGCAAGACGTGTTAACCCCCCCCCCGCAAAAAAAAAAACAACAAAAAAAAACCCCTAAAACTCTGCTTCCAAAAGAACATAATGGAACTTAGAAAAACAGGGGTATACAGATGAATGTCCATTTTGTATCTGTGTATTCAAAGTGGTTAGGATAGATATATAGTTACATTCTCTTAGTGAATAGAATGATTTGTTCTAATGGTGTTTGTAAATAGGATCTCAAGTCCGCATCTTGTACAGCAATTAACCACTAAGAAGAATATATGCAGTGTGTTAGTTATTGAAACTGTACTGCCGATTTGATTTGAAACTGTCTCATTGCTATCTGTTTATCTATAAAATTTTGAAAAAAAAGAACAATGATTCTCTAGCAATAGAATTTAAAAAGATATATTGTGCTCACTTCAGTAGCATATATACTAAAAAAAAAGAGGCTATTTTGATTAAATGCCTGACAGAGAAGCTAAAAGAATGAGTATAAGGAAGCTGAGACTCAAGAGAGTACTCATTGTTAATTGAAATTAGGAAAACAATGAAATATCCAGCAAAGACAGATACCCTGAAAAATAACCAAAGAGAAATCCTAGGAATAAAGAGCTCACTACTTGCTTTGGCAGCACATATATCAAAACTGAAACAGTACAGAGAAGATTGGGATGGCCCTTGCACAAGGATGACACACAAATTCATGAAGACTTCCATATTTAAAGAAAGAAAATAAAAAGACATTAAGATAAGAAAGGAAGGAAAGCACGAAGAAAAGCAATGCAATAAGTCAACTTTTAAAAATATAGTTGAAAATCCTCAACAACAGACTGGATCAAGAGGAATAAAGAATATCTGAATTTAAGTAAAGATCTTGGGGCTGGGGAGATGGCTCAGTAAAATAAGTGCTTGCCTGGCAAGTGCACAGGCCTGAGTTCAACCCCTGGTTCCACCAAAATAAATAAATAAATAAATAAATAAATAAATAAATAAATAAATAAAATATTTGGAAGTAGCCTCGTCAGTTAAAGAAAAGGAAGAAGAGGAACAGGAAGAGGAGAAAGAGGAGAAAAAGAATAAATACATGCCCTGAGAACATTGGGGCATGATTAAATGCACAAAGATTCACATTTTCAGAGAACCTAGAGGGAAAAAAGGAGACATAGAAAATCTACGCAGTGAAGCAGCACCTGAAACTATTCCCAATCTTGAAATATGTATTTCTAGTAGGATTCCAAATAGACATGCCCAGAAGAGATGACTCACCATGGTGTACCGTAGTCAAACCATCAAATGCACAAGATAAAGACAGAACTCTGAAAACTGCAAGAGAAAAGCATCAGCAAATATTTAAGGGAAACCCCAATAGACTAACAGCACATTTGAGTAGAAATCCTGTAGGCTAGGAAGGAATGGGATTAAATATAACAAATTCTGAAAGAAAATAGCAGGGCTTGGGGAGATAGCTCAGTAGAATAAGTGCTTGCCTGGCAAGCACAGGGTCCTGAGTTCAATCCCTGGTACCGCAATAGATAGATGGATAGATAGATAGATAGATAGATAGATAGATAGATAGATAAATAAATAAATAAATAAAATAACTATCAAAATCCAATACTCAACAAAGCTATCCTTCAGCAACAGAAGAAAAATAAAGACTTCAAGTCAAGCAAAAACAGAGAATCCGTCCCCACTAGACTAGCTTAACAAAGGTTGCTTTATGGAGTCCTACCTATAGTCAAAGGCAAACGACAACCACCATCATGAAAGCACATGTATGTATAAAATACACGGAAAGAGCAGACACACCAAAGAAAACTAAAAAGAAATCAAACCTTATCAACACGATAAACCACAAAGATAGACAATAAGGAAGAAATAATGGAACAAAAGATATTCAAAATACACAAATACTTTTATAAGATAACATAGGGCCAGGGATATAGCTCAGTGGCAAGATGCCAGGTCCTAAGTTCAATTGCTGGTTCCATTAAAAAAAAAAAGTGTAAAGATGACAGGACTGTGATTGTTAACTGTGATGTGTTGACTTAACGTGAATAAGAACTGCTTAGCAAATCGGACCCGCACGTGTAAACGTCATATGAGCGCTCTAGTGTAAAGACCTGAAAGAATAAATAAAATCTCAAAGGTATAATAGATACTGTGAAAGGCAAAAAATCTATTCAAAGGGCAGGAACCACTAGGACAAGGGAAAGCAGAAAAGAAAGAAGGAAGGGAAAGTGATGTACTTATGTATACATACAGGATAGCTTGGATAATTGTACTGCTGATTTTTGATGGTCTATTGAAAAGAGCTTTTAATGCTTAACTTTCTCTTTCCCTTTTAATTTTTATAACTTTTTGATCAATTTTGCATTCTTTTATCTGGCAATATGAACGACTAATTTGAAGGCAATAATATGCAATATAACAATCATTGCTGAATTCTGATTATTTTGTTTGGTGAAATTCTGTATTTTTTCTAGTTTTCTTTTAATAGTCTTAATTTTTTTTTAATTTAAAAAGAACAACTGCCTAGCAGATTAGTTAGATGTGTCTGTGAATGCCTGACATATGGGCCAGCAAACTAAAGGGGAAAGACCCACCCCAGATGTAGATGCCACCAGCTGATAGGCTTGTCACTTAGATGGAGTAAAAGAGGAAAGAAGGAAGTCTCCACTGTGTTTTGGAAGAGCTCCAGTCTTCACCATTACCTTTGGACATTGGTCTCCAGTTCCTTCATTGCTCCAGCACAGACTTCAGCCTTCCAATGCAGGCTCTGCAGCCTTCTGACCAGGATTCATATTGGTGACTCTGTAGTCAACCTTTGACTGCTACTGGATCATCCAGCTCTTTAACATGAAGATACTCATTCTGGATTCTTTCACCTCTGCTTTGGCAGATAGCCACTGGGAGTCTTCTACTTCTGATCCCCTAAGCCTACCTAGTCCCTTGTTCTTATGGATTATGGTTTTTGGTTTTTTTTTTTTAAATGTATTTAGTACAGTGTCTGCAGGGTCTCACTATGTAGATCGGACTCATAGTGATTCTCCTGTTTTCGGCCTCCCAAGTGCTGGAATTACAGGCATGCACCAACACATCCAGTCTCAGTTGCTGTCTCAGCATGCCCCATGGACAGGGTCAGCATGACATGCCAGGGATTGAACCCCAGCCACTGCGCTCTGCCTAAGCAGGCACAGTAGTCTGCTGAGCTATTGGGCCAGACTTCCCTTGTTCTTACAATTCCCAGATTCATATACTTTATATTGAATCTGTTCCTCATGAGAACCTTAACCAATATGAAGAGTAAGTCCTTATTAATAATAATCTGGGGTGTAAATGGACTAAACTCCCCAACTAAAAGATATGGCCTGATTGAATAGAGACAAAAACAAGACTTAATGAAATGCTACCTCTAGAAAATTCACTTCATCAACAAAGACACACAGAGACTGAAAGCCAAAGGGTATTCCATGAGGGAATAGGAAGAGTTGTTCTTCTATCACTCAAAATAGACCTAAGGAAAAACAATTTAAAGGTGACAAAATCTTTAATGATAAAGAGATAAATTCAAGGAAAAGTCACAGCAGTTTGTAAACGTATATCCAATAATGCCAGAGCACCCAATTTTGCAAAACAAACATGATTAGATCTACAAATAGGGAAGGTCCAATGTAATAGTTGGAGATTTTACCACAAAAATTTTCAACAAAATACTAGCAACCCAAATCCAAGAGTATATCACGATCAAGTAGAATTTATCCCAGAGATTCAAGGATGGTTCAATATATGCAGGTCAATAAATATAATATATTTCATCAATACAATGTAAGACAAAAATATTATCCCAATGTATAGTATATATAGAAAAATAATTTAACAAAAATAAATATCCTTAAAAAAATAAATAAATATCCTTTTAAGATAGAAATTCCTGGATGAAATGAGTATAGGAGGAATATACCTCAACATAAAGATATATATATATATATATATATAGTGATATATATATATATATATATATATATATATATATATATATATATATATATATATATATATATCACAACCAACAACATTATGCATGGCAAAGCCTACAAGCTTTCTTCCAAGATCTGGAAAAGAAAAGGATGTCCACTCTCATCACTTGCTTTCAACATAATACTGGAAGTCTTAGCTAGAAAATTAGGCAACCTGAGGAAATAAAACACATGTGAATATGAGAGAAGGAAGTCAACTTCTCTCTGTTTACTGATGGTACAATTCAGTCTATAAAATCCAAAGAATCCACCAAAAGACTACTAGAATAACAAGCCAATTCAGTAAAACCAGGATACAAAATCAACATACAAAAATCAGAAACATTTTATACATTAATAATGAAAGTACTGAAAAAGAAATCATGAAAAGAATTTCATTTATGATAACTACCAAAAACCTTAAAAATAAATTTAACCAAGGGTGTGAACTTCTACAATGAAAATTACAAAACTCCAATGAAAAATTTAAAGATCACACATGCAAAATATGGAAAGATCTCATCTTTGGAATGGAAGAGGTACTGTTAATATGTCCATGCTACACAGAGAAATCTTCAGATTCAATGTAATACTCAACAAAATACTAATGACATGCAGAACTGGAAAAAATCTAAAATTCATTCATATGGAAACACAAAAGACCCCAAATAGCCAAATCAATTTTCAGCAAAAGTAAACAATATGAACATATATTTCACAACCAGACTTCAAAATATGCCACAAAACTCTAGTAATCAAAACAACACAGTACTGACATAAAAACAGATGCATAGACAAAAGAAAAGAATAGAGTGCCCCATGCACTTATGGTCAATTGATTCTTGGCCGATGTGCCAAATATATGCACTGCTGAAAAGATAGTGCATACTCTTCAATAATTGGTGCTGGGACACCTGGGTACTCAGGTTCAGAGAAGTGTAAATTGATCTCTATCTGTTATCCTGTAGAAAAATAAACTCAGAATATGTCAGAGATTTGAGTATAAGACATGAAACTATTAAGAGGAAACTTAGGGAAGATACCTCAAGACATCTGTATAGGCAGTGTTTCTTTTTATAGAGGACCCCAAAGACACAGGAAACAAAACCAGGAGTGGTTGAATTGCATTATATCAAACTGATAAACTTCTGTACAACAAAGTAAATAATGGAATAGACAGCCCACTGAAAGAAAATTTTTTATAAACTATGCATGGGACAGGGGTAAAGACTATGTCAGCTACTTTTAAAACCTCAATAGCAATAGCATGTAAGATTCCCTGTAGGACAGAAAGAAAAATAGTATATGTTACTAAGAATATTTTGGGGCCAGAGAGATAGCTCAGTGGCATAAGCACCTGCCTGGCAAGCACAAGGTCCTGAGTTCTATCCCTGGTAACAAAAAAAAGAAAGAAACAAACAAAAAAAGTTTTAACTGTTTAAGGAAAGGAAAATATTCTCCTGTTTTGATCATTACACACTATATGGATGTATTGAGTTATGACACTATATAAATTTATATAATTAAAAATAAATCTAATAAAGAAGGGGAATAAAAAACAAGCATTTACCACAATATACTTTGTCTCAGAAGCAAAGTGGTCATTGGCAACTTCGTTTTGATGTAACCCATACAGCCCACTTAAAGCATACAACACTATCAGCTAGAGTCAAGGGCTTTGGAACAGGGATTATGCTATCCAGAAAAATTTTCTGCATCTTTTCTTGAAGCAGCGCCAACTTCAGATGATATTTTGGAAAAGAGCAAAGTCATTTCTCTGTTATATTCTCTCCCCTGTTAGGTGTCTAGAAGCTTCTCTTAGGCTTTCAATCAGGCCTTTGCTGTCCTCAGTGACCCCAGATGCTCCTTGGTACCTATTTATCTTCTTTCCCTCCTCTGCCCTTCCCTCAGCTAAGTTAAAAGAAAAATCTAAAATAATATAGCAGATGATTGGCATTTGTGTGGATTTGATATTCAAGTTTTTGCTATTTTCAAGCACCTCTAGAGGTCCTTGATGCATTGTAATTTGAAATTTTATTGTGTCATAAATTTAAGTCCCAATTCACTTGGTTACAGTCACTCAGGGAGAGGCCAGCTGAACACCCACACCTACATCTTTGTGATTATTATTTGGCATGAGTGCAATCATTTCTGAGATACTGAAAAGCAATGCTTCTTAATGAAAAACACATTCAACATCTAGCTCTAGAAACAAATGTGGAAGGGGCCGATCTACACTGATTGTAGCCTTTATGAAGGGCAACTTGAAATTTTCAAGTGTGCTTCAAAGTGGGCTCACCTATTCACAAATTTATTTTTAAATGTCCTAAATAAGAGATTTGGGAGCTGGAAGTATAAAAAGAGACATGTGGCAGGCATCTCTCATTATGAAGCTGGAAGTCCGCTGGGAAAGCCAGACATTAAGCAAGAAAATACAATAAAATGTTTATGAGTCTCTAATAGCCCTGAGGACAGAGAACTGCAGTCCATGATCCAGTCATCTCTGAGAAGACAGTGGTTACCCTGAGACTTGAAAAATACATGGTGATCTAAACAGGGTTTGAAGGCCTACTAGTCTCAAGTTATCTAACCTCCAAATGTAATAATCAGAGAAGAAAAAATGATGCTTTTACATGATGGAAAGAGAGATACCCTTTGGGTTTTTTTTAATATGGCATAATAATGCAATGCATAGAAGACTTTAAGGTCAATACAACTCAAGTTTGCTAAGGTGGTGTATTATTTATTTACATCTGAATGTCATTATGGCCAGTGTTCTAAATGAGACTTTCTTCCTTAGGTACAACCAAGAACTATGACAATCCCAGATGATCTGAAACTATCCTTTAAAAATTTTATGAATCATAGGTAAGCTAGAGAGATAGGACCCTAACTCTGGCTATGTTTGCTTGGGGAGCAGGGTCATAGATTAAGAGGAGTTAGTAGGGTGTTGAAGGAACAGACTTCTTCATGGACTTCATTTTCAAAAAAGGTAGACTAAATAAAATTGTTTCACCTTTTCACCGAAACCCCTCTGCAAGCAGGCACAAGGGCTAGGGGTTCAATCCCTGGGCCCACTGTGCTGGCCCCACCCCCAGGGCATGCTGAGACAGCGATTGAGACTGGGTGTGGTGGTGTGTGCCTGTAATCTCAGCTCTTCGGAGGCTTTAAACAGGTGGGTCACTACAAGTCTGATCTAGTAGTGAGAACTTGAAAACCCTGTTGACCCTTCTCTAAAAAAAAAATACAAAAAAAAAAGTACTTTAAATAAAGCCCCCTGTGGAAAATAAAATCTATCTTTAAAAAAAAGTGTAAAGAATAAGATAGAAGGCTTTGAAAACTTGAATGATGACACATACAATTCACAAAATACAGCAGATTACAAATCATCTGTCCTGAATCCAAGACATCCTCTGCTACTTTTTAGTAACTGAAAGTCCTGTTACCTGTTTCTTTGGTTGTCATTGCTTGTTTATTAATAACACTAGGTACAACAGAAATAAAATCAGTCAGAATGCATTAGTTGGCTTTTCAAAGGATTTTTCTGTATTTAATTATCATGCAGAGGGATTTGACTTTCACTTTATTAAATAAACAAACAAACACAACAAACCAAACATGGACTCTGGGTAAAGCATCCGTGTATGTTACCTGCCTTGCCACAGATGTTTGGAACATAGACCAAAACAGTGACATGTGATGTAGGGACAATAGACAAATTTCTCCTTTGATGCAAAAAGAAATAATCAGAGGGCAAAAACTGACCTTGTTATAAACTTGTAATACTTAGAAGTAGATGTTCTGATTTCTTTTATTACTTTAGCTTCTTTGATACTGTGATATAAAGTCAGATGCTTTGAACCCATGTACCCAAAGTACCCAAGATCATGAAGGAAAGAGGTATTTGGGTTGTACACATGCTGTCATTAATAGCATCTACTTAGTTTTACTCTGGATTTTCAAAGAACTCTTACATGAGATCATGATAAAATTTCAACAAATATTCTTTCAAGAACTTTAAGTAGAAAGCTATGTAAAAGGATTTCTGAGTAAAAGTTAATTTTTGTGAAAGAGCCTTAGAAAATATTGCCCTATTTCATTTATCTTATAAGATTGGTACTTTAAATAAAGCCCCAAATCCTAGAATCATGAGTTGGGTTTTATTTTAAATAAATAGATTTTATATCTTTAAAACTAAGACCAAAAATTGAGCTATTCCTAAAACTGTCAACACTAACTAAAAAAATCATTTAGTTTTTTTTTCTGTCTTTTTTTCAGTACGATGAAGGAAATATACCACTCCTGTTTGAGATTTAAACTAGAATGGCTATAAGTGAGGGCCTTGGGCTATTTGTGGCTCATAAAATCTGTCCTCGTACTTTTTTAAAAAATAATTTTATTGTGAAATGAATAGCAATCAGTTTCAAAACTGATTAGTAGGACAGTTTCAATAATTAATACATTGCATATTGTTGCTTTCTTAGTGGTTATTCATAGTACAAGATGCAGATATGATATCCTGTCCAAACACTATTAGTACAAATCTTTCTATTCATTGAATTAAGTGAAAGTAGCTGTACATCTATACTAACTATTTTGAAAATACAGATAACAAAAAGGTCCTTCATTTGTATCCCCTTTTTTTTGTTTAGTTTTGTCAGAGATGGGTATTCCATTGTCATTTAAATATTGTAGGTGCATGAATTCAGCAACATATTCCAATATAGTCCAGTAGCCCATAATAGTAGTGGGTTATCCATGGGACTGACAATGTCAAAAGTTGTTGACTTGAGCCTTTTACAGCTCAGCATATTAATACTGTCCTCGTACTTTTAAATCTCATTGCTCATATAGGCAAATGGAATTGTCCTTATTGAAATAATAGCATTTTAAAAAATGTATTTAGTACAGGTTGTACAGGGTCTCACTACATAGATTGAACTCATAGTGATTCTCCTGTTTTCAGTCTTCCAGGCACTGGGATTACAGGCATGCACCACCAGGCCCAGTCTCAGTCCCCCGACAGTGCACCCTGGGGGTGGGGCCAGCACGGCAAGCTGAGAATCGAACCCTGGCCGCTGAGTTCTGCCTAAGCAGGCGTTTAGTGTGCTGCACTACTTGGCTGGCCCTTAATAATAGCTTTTTATTAATGATTTTTTTCTTTACAAGAAGTTTTGTACAATTTCATTTTTGTGCATCTTGGTATGATTTTATTTAAATGTCTTTGCAAAAGGTTCATTTTTCTTGGAAATGTGGTATTATAAGTTGAACTAAATTCAAAAATTTTAAATCTTTAAAAAAATGCTTGAAACTATTGTTTGAAGCAAGGTACAGTTCCCCTATGATAAATGCTATCACTATGTATATATAAAATGTATCAATAAAAAAATTCAAGGAAAAAAAATAAAATGTTAAAAAAATAATAATAGCTTTTTAAAATGACTTTATTATAGCCCTTGCAGGAATTAATATAATGCTTGTTGCATGTAAGAAGTAAAGGAAAGCAAGAGGGAAGAAAAGATGGAGGCATATATTCTTTGATTTAGAGTTGACAGATCTTAGGCTATGCAGTATTGAAAATATTACCTGTCTGTTTGCCAACCTTAATGCATGATTTTGCTTTATGTTTTTCTCAGTCTCCATGAATTGTCAAGTAATAATTGAATAAAACAAACTCTTTAAACTAGCCATGTTTTTGGTAGTGAAGCAAAAATAATTTTGGGAGATCTTCGTGGAAGTAGAAACCATAAAATGAATATGAGCCTTACATAGCCCACCAAAGTTTACTGAGTTGTCATTCTTAAATAATAAGCAATTTAGACCAATCTAGAAATGTTTGGGGGCCAGGGAGATAGCTCAGTGACTTAAGAGCCTGCCTGGCCAGTGCAAAGTCAATCCCTGGTACTGCAAAAATAAAATAAATAAATAAAAGTTTGGGCTCATAGACATTTTGGTTTGAGGGTCATCTCAATAGTCTTAGCCATCAGCAAAAATAGAATATGTTCAGAACATTTTCTGTAAAGTTGGTAGATTCTAATCAAAACATTGTTTGGAGGGCCAGCCAAATAGCTCAGAGGATTAAAGCGCTTGCTTAGGCAGACGCAAAGGCTGGGAGTTCGATCCCTGGGCCTGCCATGCTGGCCCGCCCCTGGGGGTGTGCTGAGATGGCAATTGAGACTGACCAGTAATTCCAGCACTTGGGAGACTATAAACAGGAGGATCACTATGAGTCCAATCTATGCAGTGAGACCCTATAGACCCTGTCCTAAAACACGAAAAAAAAAAAAAAACACACAAACAAAACTCATTGTTTGGATTTTTTTTTAAGGCTAGATTATTGACCTGAAAGAATTATTACTTTTTTCTGGAAATTGGAAGATTCTTTTCTTAATCTCTCATATTTCAAGACATACATGTTCTATAGTGGAAGAAAATATTTTTAAGGTGTCCATTGTATCAAGCGCTACCAATACAACTATCACTAAGTGAAAACACCTCAAGAATTCATAGCCTTTGGCCCAGCCAGCTCACACCGCTGCACAGTGGCCTGATCCCACACCTGAACACAGAGACCATCCATGTTTCAGAGCAGGTAAAGACACATTCCTTGTCACCAAGTCCTAGCCAATTGACTAAGGTATTTTCTTGCTTCTTCCAATCAGAATGATGAATCCTCGTCAGCCCAAAGCCCCGGCTATACCTAAACCTTCTAGTGATGACATCCTAACAGGTTTGTTTTCTGTTCAAGTACTTACAATGTTAGATATACTATGCCCAGGATTGTAGAATGGCAATGTTAATCCCTAAGATAATTTCTAAATTTCTGAATAAACTCCCATCTTCCATCCCTCTCTCTCATACATTGCCTTTTAATGTATGTGGTACCCTTTCTCCTTCCCTTGAGCCACACTTGCCCTTATCCATTCCTGTGTTTTTCCAGGCTCTATCTCCCAAGCCATATGGCTTTGACCAATAATTCACTTGCTGAAGGACTCCCATAGAGACGGGGCACAAACTTTTATCTGATGGTACTAGTCAAAGTGGAAAAGAAATTATATCACACATCCCTGGGATGGTTTCATGGAGGCCCTGAAAATTCTCTAAAATGCCTTAAGTTCCCTAAAATACCTGACTTTTTCCAACAATTGCCCAGTGGTACTCTATCATCATTTGTTTTTGACAGAAGAATCTTGATTTTTAGCCTTAAGTATTGACCTAAGTCATGTCCTTTAGAAAAACTAACAATAGGCCAGTAAAGGTGAGGGTGGGCCATTGTTTGAGCTGATCCAATGCAAGACCTTAGGGCAACCAAGGCTATTTTGTCATTTATTTGCTTCAAAATTAACTGAAGCTACATAAGGCTTTTCTCAAATTAAATATTTATAGTAAAAAAAATCAAGATCATGTTATATGACTAAGAAAGTGGAAGCTTTGGGGCTGGGAGATGGCTCAGTAGAATAAGCACTTCTCTGACAAGTGCAAGGGCCTTAGTTCAATCCCCAGTTCCACAAAAAAAAAAAAAAAAAAAAAAAAAAAAGGCTTTATCTTAGAAATTTGCAAAGGGTATAGAGACAGAATTTACATAGGAAATCATCTAGAAAGGAAACATGAGGATATATTGAGGGGACTGCAAAAGAGAGACTAGAGACTTAAGAAATCGCTGAGACTTGGGATATCCACTTTAGTGTAGTGAAAGGCAATCCCTGTGCATCAGTAAGGTATCTGAGAACACTGGCCAAGTTCGTGTAGCCAAAGTGAAAGCTAAGAGCCCCTACAGGACAAAAGCTCCACACTGCTTTTCCCTGGTCTGTCACAACTTCCTTTTCTCAAAGCCAAGACCATTTAGTTTCAGAGTTATCTGTGACAGTTGCACAGTCATTCTCAATTCTCCTTGGAATTGGATTTTTTCAAACCTATGATGCAAAGAAATGAAACACCACACACACACACACACACACACATACACACACACACACACACACACACACACACTTTTCTCTCAGCAAGAAAATTTATTTTCCTTATCCTAGAGAATAATATAACAAGATGCCTTTCACCAATGTATTAGCCCTGGAAATGTATTTCAATTAGTAATATCAAAGCAAGAGTCAGAGTTCATGGGATTAGGCAATTAGCTTCTTGAGCAGACTTAATTTTTGCCCAGACTCAAATCTAGGACAGCAATCTTGAGGGTGAAGCTCTAAGGAGAATGGCTGCAGAAATGTCTAGAGGCGTAAGCTTGGTAGATCTACTGCTGATTTTGGTTGTGACCTTTTTGAGCTGAGCTCTGTTGTTGTTGCACAACACTGTTGTTGTGCATAATCACTGCAACAGTAGAGTGCTAGTCTATTAGCAATGAGACCTGAGTTCAAATTCTAGTCCTGCTCTGTGGGCTGGGTCTCCATGTTTCTACTTATAAAAACCACAGTTTCATCTTCTCCCAGCGAGAGCTGGGCACTCAACACAAGCAACCTTTCCCTTTGACCAAACCAAGAACCTTGTGAGCACGTACCAGCCCTTCTCGTTTAGCCAACATAGACATGTCACACAGGCTGCAAGATGTGTTGCTGCCTGCTGAAGCTGCCAACCACCTGTGCTGTGTTCTGTGGTTCCTGTAAACAGGCTGCAGATACTAAGCATATAATGCCTCTCGGTAAATAGTGCTAATGATGAATTCATTCTGTTGGTTACATCAGTGAGTTCTAACACTTTCTGGATTCAACTAAAACATATAGATAGATAGATAGATAGATAGATAGATAGATCATTAAAGTCTTAATGGGAGCTAATTAAATGGAAAAATCTATTTTTATAAGTGATAGGGATTTCTTCTGGATTCGTTTATCCTTGCCTTGAGCCTAGGCTCGTAGTCTTGATGTTATTGGTACTGATGCTCACCACCTGATTTAGAGCTGCCTTCTGGCATTTGGTTGTCCTTCTGTTTAAGATGTGGTACACAGTGCACCGAGTTAGGCTTCTGGGGACCCAGATTCTAGTCCTTAGTCCATTTGGCCCTCTTACCCCAGGCCACTGTTTCCTCCTCATTATAGTAATAAGACAAACTCAGACCCTGGATGTTTGATCGAATGACATCTCTAGTTCTCATTAGGCTTGGTCAGGGCACTTGCTCTAGAAAGCTCAGGCCTCCAACTCCTTTAATTATTCAGTGGTTCCCAAGAGGAAAATGTTGTGTTACACGTTGACTAACCGTCTTCATGCAATGTGCCTCCTAGAAAAATTAAAAGGTAACTAAGCTTTTATAAGTCAAATCAGACTTGAAGAAGAGGTCAGAATGGTAAGGATTTTAAAAAGTCAAAAAATAAATTATTCACAGTGTGAAGGCTCCCTTTGAAATGCAAAATAGTTTTAGTTCCCTACTGTAGCTTTTATTTTTGTAAGATCATGTTGCTATCCCACCCCACCCCCAAAGGACAAAACTATATAGGGCCCTGAAAAGTCTGAGAGCTCTCTTTTCCCTTTGGCTGATATTACAACTCCAGATATGTTTCATACTCATTTTGAATTTAATCAGCAATGACTCCTTACATGTGGGTTTTATTTCTAAGTACTTCTTTGGTGGAACTTAAAAAAGGTTAAACATTATTGGGGACAAGAAAGTTCTATGACGAGACATTCTTCTGTGAATTTTTAATCTGTTTCAAGCAGTTGAGGAAATCTTTGGTGGCCCTTGGTTACTTTGAGTTTCCTTAAGAATGGAGTCTAAGCAGCCTTTATTCTTCTTCCTTCTTGCACTATTCTCCAGAGAGTATTCACTACAGGCTGCCTATTACGGGTCCCAGGACAGGCGTCTTCCACGGACTGCTGTCAGATGTCTACAAAACTCTTCAGGAGACTCAACACTCTTCCTTGCCCAGAAAGAAGCCCAAGGGCAAAGCAATAAAACAATGAGGGCTCAGCCTCTTGACACTGGTGTCTTCTCATCATTTTCTCTTAGCTCCAGATAGATGACTCAGTTTGCCTTCCTAAGAGTTGCTGCTATGGTAGCTCTTGTCACCTCCTCACTCCTTTCTCCTAAAGACAAAATACAATTTACATCATTATAAAGATTTATTGGCTACCATGGAATATGATGTTATCTCTCAGTTTATTTTCTTAAATATTTTATCCATATTATGATAAATTTCACATCCCTCTGTTTCTAAGACAGGGATTTTTCTACAGCAGTTACTTCATCACTTTCTGCAGTTTGGAGGGCCGGAGATGGCCTAAGAAGGATGAATTCATCCTATCATGAATAAAGCAGTTAATGAGAGGTTGCCCTTCCATTCCTATTTCTGTCAGTTAACTCTGATATATGACAAAGTGCTATGCTGTGAAGCAAGAACTGTAGAATGGGAGGCCAGGGAGATGGCTCAGTAGAATAAGCACTTGCCTGGCATGCGCAACAGCCTGAGTTCAATCCCTGGTTCTGCCCCCCACCCCCAAAAAACAAACAAAAAACAAAAACCCTGCAGAATGGCACATGGTTAGTTGTCATAGTCCCTGATTCCTGAAATTATGCCTTGCCTTGCCTCCTCCCTTCACGTCCTCCTGAGTTCAACAGATTTCCAAGAAGTTGCAAATCTCCAACAGTAGAAGAATTCTAGGAAAAAGAGCACGGGCCTTGTTTCTATAAATTTATAAACAAAATCCTTAAGAGTCACAGCTAAGTTAGAAACTAGAGATAGGTGAAGCCAAACTAACCCCAGAGAAAAATAAAATAAGCATCCCATTTCAACCACACTCCACTCTAAGGCTTCTTAATTCCGTTACTGTTCCTGCTTCATACATCGGATATCAAGTCTCTAGGAGAAATGTAAGAGTTAGCTGCCTGGCATGAACTTGAGAGACCCTTAGAATAAAGATGAGCCCATGCCTAGGCTTGCAAAGCAGCAAGAACAAATAGGAACTGCATCCCTGAATTTGGGTCTGTGATGCCTCAAAGAGTTCATTTAGTAGGAGGATTCTGTCTTTAAGGAAGTTATTGTTTCTTTTGGAGAGGAGAGGAGAGGAGAGGAGAGGAGAGGAGAGGAGAAGAGTGGGGGAATGGAGGGGAGGGGAGGGGAGGGAGAAGAGGGGACAGAGAATGAGGCATAAGGTACAAACTGAGCCCTCAGAGATTGCAGGAATCACACTTTCCACATCACCAATGGTCCGGCTCAGTGCCCAGGGACAAAGAAGCACCTGTGAGGCCTTGTCAGGAGGGAAGGAGCCATCTTTACTCCCCAGGATGTGATCTCTCGTTCTTTGCAGTCTTTGGCAAGACATTGTTCTGGCCAATGAATTGCAGAACAGTGGACACTGGCAGGTCTGCTGCTCCAAGGAAAAATTGTTCCCAAGCTTCCTGGGATCATCTTCAACTTAGTCCTGCATAGGAGCAATCAACCAGTGGGGATGACTCATATCCAGAAAGTCGAAAGGCCCTTGCTTCCCAGATGCTCACCTTGAGGAAAAAATGCTTAAAGAGCAAGATATGCATAAAAGCAATGATAAAGAAATACTGGTAACATTAACTGGCTCAAGTGAGTGGAATTGAGTGTTCGGAGGACCAAAATTGAGAGAGACATGAGAATGTGCAAAGGACACCCACACTTGCTCTTAGAAATTTGAATCACTTGAAGGACTCTGAAAAGTAAAAGAAACAGGGTTGGAGAGATAGGTTGGCAGTCTAAGCGCCTTCCTGGCAAGCACAAGGACTTGAGTTCGATCCTTGGAACCACGAAAACACATACACACAGAGGGGGAGAGAGAGAGAGAGAGAGAGAGAGAGAGAGAGAGAGAGAGAGA